AGATACCTTGTATTGTTTTTGTTAACCTAACTGAAACTTGAAACAATTAGGAAATGGAGCAACAGGGGTTCCTGAGCTGTAGATAAGAGCAGGCTGGAAGAAGAACCAAGTGAGGACAAAAGTTGGATGTTGGCTCTTGGTATGGGGGGGTCCATGACAGATGGAAGAGGTTGGGTAGGGATGAACATGTAGGCAAGCAGCAGATGCCATTGGTGCCAGGTCTTCCATGGCATTTTGGGTTAGGTTTTCTGTATTACAAGGTTACTGGGAGGAAAGGGACAACATCCATTTATCTTTTGACCTTCCTATGTTCCACTCTCATGAAGGGAACATTTTCAGCCTTAACTAAAAAAGAATAAAATTATATGTTATCGTATTTTTTGAAACAAAAATGTTTAGGAAGATTGTCAAGGAAACTAACTTACATTTTTATATCAATTGGAGCTAGGCTGTCATAAAACACTGAGAAATAGCTGAAGTACTTGAGTGATGAAATTACGGAAAGGGCAGGGTAAAAGACCAAGAACATTGTCATAAATGAAAAGAGTAGAAAATAGTGGTTACTGATTGAAAAATGGAAGACTTTTTTTTTTTTTTTTTTTTTTTTTTTTCTAAAGAGAACTGAGGTCCTGTATGGATAGATGAGGGAAATTACTATCCTGAATGAATGGCATACACATCTGAGAGTCAAGAAACACCTTAGGCTGAACTTCAACCTATTTAAAGGGAGAGATTTCTAAAATTTACCACGATGAACTCACTGAAACTTAGGTGATTCCTTAATGAAATATGTTTATCAACCACCTTTAGATTACTTTGATTTGTTTATCATTCTTCGTCCACCTGTTTATTCTATTTTTCAATGTTTCTAAGTCTCACTTTGAACGCAATACAGTGAGGGGTTTGCCATTCATTCCTACTTAATATCTTATGGCATTAAATCAGTTGGAACTGTCTCTTACTTCTATCATTGCAATAGAATGGTCAAAACAAAATGATTTTTCCTCTCTTTGTTCCCCAATATTGATGAAAATGTTCAGGCAATTCCAATGCTTAATTATCTCCTTTTATGTCCTTAGATTATTCATCTCAGACTCCTTGCAATCCATTTCCTGAAAATGCCTTAAGTAATTATATCTCCCAACAGAGTTATCATTTACTTTCATTTTTTATCATTTTTACTGAACCATCCCTTTACAACTGCATTGCCTTCTCTTAGTTGCCTCCAGTTCTTCTTGCTAAGGAAATGCCCAGAAGTAACATTCCAGGAACTGGAATTGTAAGGTGGAACAGTATTGCCTCATTTCTCTGTAGCCCACCCAGCTCTCTCAGTATGAAAGACACATGCATCCTATCTCTCAGGGATGCACCTCTTTGTTGCACTTCCTCTGCTGATGCCCATCAGCTCTGGAACAGTAAAAATTTAGAGCAGAATAATTTGCTCAAGGTAACTTAAGACAAGTGTAAACAAAGCTTTTTCAGCCGGCTTCATGTCAACGTGTCAAAACAGGATTGTTTTACATTTGTTGCAGCAACTCTCAGCATGTTGTTTCTTCCCCAGAAATCTGGCCTCTATGAGTGCCAAGTCCCAGTCTCCAAGATGGATGAATGCTGCTCTTCCTTCCCAGCTGCCGCCAGCTCCACACAGCAGGAGTTCCCCCCACACTCCCAGGTGTACACAGGGTGTGACAGCACAGCTGCCTCCCTGTTAAATCCAAATGATGACCTTCAGCCATCCTCCCAGGCTCCCTGGCACCCTCCCGCCAGGCCCAGCTCCACACTGCACTGTCTGGAACTACCCATCGAGGAACTCATTTTAAGTCATATCTTTTAATCAATCTGGATAAATGTCAGTGGAAAGTTGCTACTGCTCACAACCTCTACGACTTTTAACATATACCACATGTTCCTGCATTAAGGCTGGCTCACTCTGCATTAGCATAGAAAAGACGGACTGCAAATCCCTCCAAATGCTCTTAAAATCAAAAGGAATCTTTCCACTGAGTTTAACAAGAGCTGAGTTGAGGTCTTGTGACCCTGCTGCAGCAAAATATTTAGACACAAGCCAAACTCCAAGCATGTGAAGAAGCCCCATGAATTCAATAGGCTTATCAGATGTTTAGGAACTCCAGTCAAGACTTCAGTATTTTTTTTGAGTTGCTGTAGCAGTGCCTCTGTTGTACAAAATAAAATCCATGAGAAAATTTCACTTGCTCCAATGAAAGGAGGAATAGATCTTGAATATATGTATTGTGTGTATTTATATTTGTACATACGTAATGTTTATGTTTACATACAAGTACACACACATATATACATATTTTAGCCTCTCTTCTTCCTTTCACATTCCTGGAAGAAAAGCTTTCATCTGATTTATATCATAATCTGCAAAACACACTGCTTGTGTCTACGTACTTTTCACTAGAAAGAAAGGCTTCCTTTCAAATGCCCTTGTCCCAGTGTTGATGGTGTCATGGTTTTATGTTTTTTGTTTTTTTGGGTTTCAGTATTCCACATCAAAACATCATGTAGTGTACGGGGCTTTAAAGTGCCACTGCCCCAATTCCAGGTACCTATCCCTGTACATTACAGAAGTCATGGGATCTGGCCCTTCTGGGTGGGGGGGGGCACTCTCTTGCTGCCTGGCAGTGGGTGCTGGAGGGTGCTTTCCTAGCCTTTTCAGGTTTGACTCAGTTCCGGGAACTCTCTCTCACCTTGTCTGATTTATTAGTTTCAATTTCAATTAAATTGTATTATATTGTGTTAGCTTGTATTTTTCTGGTATTATAGTAAAATAAGTTTTCCTCCATAGATTGTTGCCGCTGTTCTTTTCCTCCCTCCCTTCCTTCCTTCCCATATTGTGGGACTGGGCAGGGGGGGAAGGGCAGAGGCCTACTGCCCCCCGGTCATGGACATAGATTGATGTAGTCAACTCTGTGATAGATGAATGCTGTCTAAGCTGGGGCATCCTCACACAGTGGACGAATAAAAAGCCTGAAGAGCCTGAGAGGTGGAAATATTGTCCTTACAAAGGTAAAATAAGAAATAAAGGCACTTAGAAAGTATATAAAAATTTACCTCAAATACCATCAAAAGGAAAAATAATTTCCTTTTCCTGCCTTAGGCAATATTTACTTAGATTGAAGTGTAAAAAGTACAGTGGAAATATATGTCCTCTTTGTTGTCTGTAGAACCTTCAAGTAAATCTGCTTCCTATAATGATGTTTAGGGGAAGTTTTAAGCCTTCTCCCTCCATTTTGTTTCCATCATTTCTCTCTTTTTCTTGTTCCATCAAAAACTGCAATGTGCAGATTTCAACCTAAAAATTCCCCACTGAAACAGAATGAATTCATGCATATATATGCTGATCAGCTGCAATTACGTGTGATTCAGAAAGAGGCAAGGCAGCACTTCGTCCATACAGTCTCCAGAAATGAAATGAAAATAACAGAAATTTACCTTGCGGTGAGGGCTGGTAGGTAGCACCTTCAGAAAGACTGAAGAAATATGTCCCCAGTTCTTCATCTTCTAAAGTAAAACCTTGAATTGCTTCCTTGCCTCACTAAAGAACAGATTCCTCCAGACTCACTGCAACTAATTTATAGCAGTACAGAAACAGATGGTTTGGTAGATATAATTTTCTGTTTAACTAGCAGTTCTTTTCGCTCTACTTTTATTTGATTCTCCACTATATATAAATAAAATGGTGTAAAACAAATAATATCTGTGAACATCACTGCTTTTCCTCACCTCTGAAATACCCCATAACCTTCCATAACCTTACTTATTGCTATTTAACCTCATGTCAGGTTATCTTAAAACTTCTAGTTCAACAGGAAATAATGTCATGATAACTAATGCCTATTTTTGTTATTGCTGTTGTATTGTTGTTGTTGCTGTTGCTTTTTCAGCAGCAGGAAGGCAAGCAAAGAAGCAAACACAACAGTTCAGGAGTATTAAAAAGATTATGACAACTCTTGGGCTTTGAAGGGTTTTTTGGAGGCCCCTCCCTACTTCAAGTGAAAAACACATGAGAAGGCATCCAACCAGCACGAACAGGCTCTGGAACATTAAAATCAGAAGAGAAGAACACCATTTTATCCTAGCAGCTCTTCTGCTATAACCTCCCCAGGATCCTACTCCCCAGGAAGGAGGTCTGTGGATAATACAGGTGTCGTGAACAGCAAATGTGACTTGTTTAAGGACACTGGTTTCATCAATGACAAATCTACTTCTGTACCATTAGCAGCTGAAAGGTACTTCCCACAGTAGTCCAAGAACTAGCTCAGTGTTTTCTATGCGTTGTGCAGTCTCTCATCAAGGACTAAGAAAGCACAAGTCTGCTTCCAGCAGGCATCTGTGGCTGATGAATTCTAGTAGTAAGGCCCAACAGTCATGATGCACTACAGCACACTTCTCATAGTTCTGCTAGGACTATGAAGTAGGGAGCTAGAGTCTACGGCTTCGACTTCTTAAGAGAGATTTATTGTTCTCCTTCTTGTCTCCTTTCAAAGTATCTGAGATGGAAGTACCATGGTTATAATTTTGCATGGCCTACAAGAGTATTTGATGGTGACAGGCTTTTAGGATAGAGGCGGAGAACTGTACATGAAAAGAGATTTACTGCAGCTTTGCTGGTACTGAACTTTGGAAACAGACTCTATAGTGTATTGTCACCTCAAACATGTTTAGACAGTCTAGGAGAGGTAGCTGGAGGAAAACCAGAAAGCAAGTTAACAGCTACTGCTCTGAGACCTACTACTTGTGCTCATTCCCTAGCTCTTTCTGGACATCATCCTCTAGCCTAGATTAACCATATCTTTCCCCCCTCCAAAAAAGCAAAACCAAAAAAACCCCAGACAATTATATTATGTTGTTTTACTTCCATATCTATACATACTTTTTTTTATGGAGCAGATATGGAGGTAGTCTGGATCTCTAGCCTGCATTCTGGATGAAGTCAAAATTTATAATGTTAATGGTCTCATTTCTTTCTCCATGAGAAATCACAAGGAGCATCATAGAAACCTGTTTACAGACATAAACTCTTTCCTATGTCAATGCTTTCTCAGTTTTTTATTATGTACAGGAGAATCAGTAGCCACAAATCAATGCCATCCTACACACTAGCATACATCCACATCTGAACCTTCACATGGGACTAAACAATTCAAAATCTCATGTAGGACAATTTAGCTGCAATCTTGATAGAAAGCTAGGCTATGTCTGAACTTCATGTAGTTGTTGTACGTTGAAGGCAAGTTTATATGGGACAAAAGAAGAGCAGAAAGTTATCACTGAGAAATGTCTTGACCATGCCCTCCATTATGAATGTCAAGCAGAGTGATATAGAATTATATACACAGACAGGGTAAGCTCAGCACTGAAACCAGTTTAGGCTAATGTGTGTCTTAGTTCTTAAGTGACTCCAAGTACAGGCATCTTCAGTTACGGCTGATGGGAGTCTGATGAAGTAGATCTCCAGGGCTTTAGTCCTCATCTCCCACATGAAAAGCAGCACCTGTGAATGTTAAAATACCAAAGGTGGATACATTCCAATACTTTCTCTTTTTTTAAAAAAAGCAACTTCAGGATCCATTGTTCAGTCATAATTCTGTAGCCATATCCCGATTTTTAGCAGCTTTTGTCTACATTATCAAAACCCACTAGGTTCTTACATGGCCCTCCAAAAAACATTCAAGCATGCGTGTAGTAGGCACCTCATGCATTGTATCTGATAAGTTTGAATATTTGTTTCCAACTATCTGATCTGGTTAACTAGTTCTTGTACATGCTGTCATTTCCTAGTATGTATTTAGTTTCTCCTTATCTAATGACTTTCAGGAGGAAACACTAATCTTGTACAGTCAGGATCTCTAAAACATGATGCAGAAAAGTTAGTCTACCTTCAGCAACCTTAAAGCAGTTATACAGAGACCCACTATGGGGAGATTTCTAGCAAATTAAAGAATTGAAAGAAGTTATTTTCTGACCACAACCTACTCATTTCAAATGACAGCTATCATGGACTGATGCTATGTATGATATCCATGTTCAGTAGCAGGTTTACCTTTATTTTTCTAGCATTTTTATACCAAGAATTTACATGTTCTTTTGTCATCAGCCTGAAAAAGAAAAGAGCTCACATCTCTAAAGTGTCCTATTTTTCATGGCAAATTTGATAAATAGATCAAAAACCTGAAGCCATGGAAGCTGTGGAGCAAAATTTATTACAGAATGATGAGATTAATGTTCATGTCCCTCTTCTTTCTAACCTGCCTACTACCTCCTTCACCCACCTCCCGGCAAGTCAACATGCTGTGTGAGTAGTCAGCCTGCTTCTGTGACTCAGAATCTCAGAGCATTAAAGCCTGAAGTTTGGCAGATGCCCAGGATAAAGAAATTTTCACAAATCTCCCACAAGGAACACTCTAATCATAGTAAGCTCTGAAGCCTTGAATGAGATGCTTCTTCCATATATAAATTCCCAATTTGCTTAATGGACTCTTCTGAAACTTTGCAGTATAGTATTGCAAATGTTCTTCTAAAAATCCCAAGTCCTTCCCCAGCATATGACCAGCATATACATCTCATGAAGGAAAAAATATAATTTACTGTTCAATTCTGGCTTCTGCTGATAATTCTTTCAACACATAGTTCATTGGAAATTAAAGAAAAAATACTATGTTCAAGTTGTCTTTCAGGAATAACTCATCTTGTAATTGCCATTTCAACAATGGAGGAACATACTTACAAGAAAAGTTGTTGTTGATCTCCATATGGGTGACCTCACTGAAGGTATGTGGAAGAAAATAGAAAAGCAAGCTATTTATTAATGGTTGGACTTCGTGAATTTCACACAGAAATTCAAATGATGTATTCTGTAACTGTAGCTATAGCTTGTGGCCTCCATTCTTGTAAGCTGTAAGTCATTCCCATGAGCATGTGTTCAGTTGCCTGCAACAAAACATTCACTCAATTATCCTGGTTTCTCATATGATATGTGACAATACTGCATCCTAGCAGCTGCATTCAGTGCAAGGGAATTTTCAAATAAATGCAATTCCCCTATTTTTGTAAAGAGTGTGAAAAACACCTTCTTAAATCCAGTTTTACTGCATATGTGTATCTATTTATTTATGCTATGTTGGAACTGTAGAGAAAAGTCTTGATTTTGGTTATCAAAGATCTATAAATTTACATTTATATTCAATATTTACAGTTTAGATATCCAGGAGAGGACATCATATAGAAATTATTCTCCTTATTCATCCCCATAGTTATACCTTACTGATACTTCACAGACAAAATATATATTAAATGTACAGCTACAAACAGTGAGTTCAGAGGACTTTTCAGGTGATATAAATGATCGTTGTTTTTTTTTTTTTCTTTAATATGCAGGGTACTACACCTCAAAAATTGTTTTCTAATTATTTTGGGCTTTATTTGTTCTTTGAATATTTTTCTTTGAGCAGAACTCTATCTTAGTCTTAGAAGAAAGAGTGTTCTGTGGCAGTGTTGTTCTCTGGAAAAGAAAAGCCACTGAAGGCAGAAATGTCAAAAGAAATGCAAAGGCCTGCAAAGAAGGGCAAGGCATTACAAACTCGACAAGTTATGCAGTTTAGGCACACAATACAAATTACTGCAAATGGACTCTTTTTGGACTCTGAATACAGGTTTTTTTGTCTCATAAGGCTGCATGTTAATCGCAAAGCAACTGTATGTATTTGGGTTTTTTTGTTTTTTTGTTTTTTTTTTTTTTAAGGAAACGTGGCCTGTAGTCTAGCTCTGGAAGAGGATAAGGGGACTTAAATCCAGTAAAGACTGAAGAGTTCCCCATCTAAAGCACATAAATGAGGGAGCACCTACTGCCAAACAGTATCAACAGAGCATAAAAAACCTACTGCTCAAAATACTTACTTGCTTCAAATATGATAGCTGTAATTATTTCAGCTGCTTATTTACATTAATAGAAAGTCTTTTCCACATTCTCCAGCTCACACATCTGCCCCACAGAAATCCCTTGCTTAACCATATATGCTGCAGTCCAAGGCAGGACTTGAGCTACCACAGTTCACCTTTCAGGCATCTAAACTTTCCATCTTTTTGGATGACTGAAACTCAAATCAGTACAGCTCCCTCTCTCATTTCTTCTTTGCATTGCTACAGTTTGCTCATGCTAAATAACTGCTTTTCTTTGTAATGGTTTTTTTACATCAGTGGACAAAAATGCCTTTTAAATTTTATTTTTGCTTTTTTTGAAGCATGGAAAAATTTGCGTCTAGAACACTCCATGCAGACATCTCCCTGAAATCTGGCACAGTCATTAAAAAAGCACACAATGCACAATTCAGTAAATGTGGGAAATACAAGTTTTGGTGAGTCTTGAGTCATAACTTGCGACATTAATGAATGAGATGTCCAAAACCCACCACTTCCAAATTCAAGACATATGAGAAAATCTTTCCCTTAAATGGTTCTGAATGGTTGCCAGTGGCCAATTCTCCATGTCCTAGACAACAGACAAAACTTCAAGATACACTCAACTCTCTTGGTAGGAGTGGCATGCATACTTCTTGTGGTAGTAAAATTACCACTCAGAAATTAATTTGTTCCCTTCATAAAAATGAATAGTTTTGTTTTTGAAAACAAAATCATTGCTATCTAAACCCCACTTGCCCTCCAATTTCAATCCATTATTTTTGACAAACACATGCTGCTAAGAAGCAAGAGAAGATAAAGGAACAATTCAAGAGCTAATGAAAATTAAGCCCTTTGGTTATACTCGTAGAAGAACGATAGCAATCTTCTCCCCTACCCAGACTTAACAGCAGTCTTTCATAAACTTTCCATTAAGATCAAATGAAACATTGAGCATTGCTACGTTAATGAAATTCTTCACAGCTCCATTTCTCTCAGCCCAGTGTTAGTACTAAGCATCTAGAAAGCTTATTTTAAAAGTAAATTCAATGGTACTTGCCATTACATATCTACTATCTCATTTTCATTTAACCACTAAGGCATAATGATTGTCTAAAATGAGCCTGTTTCAGAAGCCATAAAGATTATTTGCTAAAGTTTAATAATACTCACATGACCATGAGCATTAATTTCAATGAATATTCAATACTATCTACATTGCAATATCCTGTCATTAAGTAGCCAGCTATTCATTTGCAAGACACCGTAATCTTTTTATTAAGCATCTTTTGCTATCTTATACTCTCAACTAACATAATTTATGAGCATCTAAATATGATCTATTCATAGCATTTAAAATAGAACATGTTTCAAAATTGGTCAGATCATTCTTGAATTACCTCTCTTTATATCCTGGATATATACATAGATTTTGAGATATTTCTTTTGTATCACATAAGTCAATGGTATATATAAAAATATTACTTGTAAAAATATTTTTGTTGTAATTCTTTTTTGTAAACCAATTTCACTGCTCCCTCAATATCATATTAGACTGTCATTTGGACAAATGCAGCCCTCACAGAAGCGAATAAATCACATCTCAGTGATGTGACATTGTTCTCGCCCTTATTTCATATCTTCTCTATGTTGAGAGCCTGGTTGCTGAAATGGAAGAGAGTCATAGATTAGTGCATGATTGCATGGGCCTCTGGAGCTTATCTGGCCATACTTCCAGACTGCAAAGGTCCTGCTACGTGTTAGCATTGACTTGCAGCCTTTAAATCACAGTTCTGTGCCATCTGTAAACTTTGTAAACTTTAAGTCCCATTGTCCAAGTCATTCATGAGGATTCTAAGTATTATTTGTCCCACATACAACCTTTAGGAAAGTCATCAGTACTCAGTAACCAGCTGAATTTAGAATAACTAATCACAACACTTCAAGAGCAAAAACAAACCAGTTTTCACCCACCTTGTACTCTACACACAGTCCATATTTCCATATTTTTGGTTTATTTGTGACTCCATTTTCAGTCAAAGTACATTAGTTGCAAATTTTCAAAGGGTATGTACAGACTTCCAATGCAAAATTTGATCATGACTTTTTACTGGATTTTTGTATTTCCCAGAGAGAAATACCTCTCACTTCATAATCTGCCTTATTCATGTCGTTTTTGGCAGCACACAAATTTGTGAACAACTGTTTTCAAGCTTCAGGAAGCATCAAATTTCATCAAAAATCTCTGATGAGCTCCTTGACAGCTCATTAGACTTGCAGCTACTCCCATCAAACATACATTAGTTTCACAAAGACATGGTCAAATATCCCACTAGTTTTATGGTTCTGTCACTCTCTTTTTTATATGTTTTAATTTAAAAAATAATAATTTGTTTTGTTATTTATGTACATTCACTATACTATATATTTTATGAGGGCTGCTCTGAAAGTAATGTTTCCTATTTTATTATTGTTGGCCCACAAAGTCTAGGGTGGATGCTGGTGGTATGGCAGTAGAAGTTGATCCTTCCCATCAATATTCCATTATGTTTTGTTGTCATGCAACAGATGACAGCAGAAGGGCAGTCTGACAAAACGGCATCTGACATGGAAGTGCGAGTGGAGCAAAGGTGTGGAAGTGAATTCCTCCACACAGGAAAAATTGCACCCACTGAAATTCATTAAAGCTTGCTGAACTTTTGTGGAGACCAAACAGTGGATTTGAGGTAGAGGGAAGTGCATTTCAGCAGTGCTGACAGTGGCTGCAGGTAACTGTGAGCGCAGTGTGCAGGCTCTTGTTCATCACTGGTGAAAATGCAGAGCTAATGGTGATGACTGTGTTGAAAAAGTTTTGTAGCCAAGAATTTGTCCTACTAGAGTGTTTTTATGCTCTTTGTATTGGTTATATTTTCCATGGAAATAATTAGGAGCATTACTTTTGGGACAACCTTCATAGATGCAGCCCTCAATTCATCTTCACTCAGTGTGCCCCAGACAAGCCATAAGCTTGGACAGCCATACTTTGCTCTTCAGGACAGTGCCTCACATGATCCTACCAAGGATATTTCCTTGAACAAGCCCAAGCGCATTCCTTTTTTCCACCACAGAGTTCCACACGCTTGAGCTGCTCCTTTGCACAAAGAACATCTGCACGCTTATCAACCCTCACATGCCAGCCAGCTAGTCTGCATTCACCCACAGCAGCTCTGCCACCCTGTCATCTCAGCAATCTCTGCAAACTATCCCTCTGTAACTCTGTAATACCAGTAATATCACTGATCAGCGACTGCGCGCAATCTTCCACCTCCTTCTGTTTGTTCTCCAAGCTGAGTGTGCTTATGTTCAGGTGAATGCAAAAGGCCCTCAGCAGCCTGTGTTTGAGTCTTTTTACAAAAAGGAAGCACAATTATGCCTGCCTGTTAAAGCACGACAGGACAGCCTTGGGGGGGTTATTTTTTTTGTTTGTTTGTTTATATTTTTTTAAACTCTCAGATCTGTGCTTTTTTCTAACCAACAGCTCCACGTCTAGCACACTCCCACAAGACTCGGGAACCCTGGGTCCTATGGTCTGCTCAGCCAAAAGGAGTTCAGCTCTCCTCCCTCTGTCTGGGAGAATGCTCTAGCAGGCAGATGTACAGACTATGTGAGGCAGAAGAAATGGCAGTGCTTTTAGTACTTTCTACTGGAGCTGTTCCACCTTCATAAAGGAATTCAAGATTTAGTAGGCCAAGAATGTTACTTTCCAGCCAAACCATTAAGGGCACTCTCTGGGAAATAGGAAAACCTGGGTTCCAAACCCTGCTCCAAGAGACTGTGTTTTGCTGGTTTTCTTTTTTAAATTAAGCAGTCTTTTGATAAAACTCATGAAGTCTCCAAGGGAAAGCACAAAGTATGTGTCTCTGCTGGAAAACACACTGCACTCAAACATCAGCCTTCAGGCACAATGGCCCCAGTGAGAGTCACCCCAGTGCTTTCTTCAGCAGATTTTGCTATTTTTTAATCTAATTTGAATAGCAAACTCCTAGCCAAAAAGTCAGATTCCCCTGCACAGCCAACCACGCATTCACTTACTGAGTCGTGCTGTTCATCCTGTGCCTTCCAGCAGTGACACTGACTAGGTAATCAATAGATTTTCTGTCTGGAGATGTGGAATATACCTGTTCCCTTCAAATCACAGTATGTCCAGACTAATGTCCAAACAAACTCATTGCTGTCAAAACAGGAAGCAAAGCATTTTTGGAAAAATATTTAAAAAAAAAAAAAGGAGAGAGAGAGAGACGGAGAGAGAGAGAAAGAGAAGGCTAAATTTCTTTTTAGAGTTGTGAATTACATAGGATGTGGTAAATTGTCTAGTCAGTGTTTGTCTACATGTGGTCTGAATATTTTTTATGTAGATCCTGTGTTTAAATACATATATTTTTTGAATAAAGATTAAATTCCCAGGAGTTGTGATGCCAGTAGCAAATTACAGGGCGTTTTCTTCATCTACAAGATCACTAGCTTTTGCCATTGGTCTTGGGTACTGATTTACCCAGAAATGTGAAATGGAATAGTTGCCCTACCAGAAGCATATGCTGTGCTTTCAGTACAGTTGAGGGCATAGTTCAAAGAAAAATACATATAGGAACACTTTCTCTGTTCCCACCACCGTGAGTGTACTTTAAAAGTATAGGGTACCTTTTCCAAGGGTATTTCAGGAATTAAACACTTTTCCATAGTACAGGAACTTCAGAACCATTCAGCATTTTTTCATTTTTATTTTTAATTTTATACCTCAATATATTTTGGGGTGTTTTTTGTTGCTGCTGTTGTGGCATGCTGAACTTTACCATTTCACTCCTGTTTTTTCAAAAACAAACAAACAAATAAACAAAACCAAACCCAAAACTGTTTGTAGGCAAGATGTCTTTCTTCATGTAATATTAATCTCCTAAAAACAGACACCTCTTAAGTTGCATAGGTACTCTTGATACCCATTGTCTTAAGCTGAGAAAGGTCATTTTGTCTGCTTAAAGAAGTGCAGTGTTTGCAGCAAACAGTGGAAAACCTGGAGTGTCTTCCTAGCATGTATGAGACTGTTTGGGTAGATTTTGGCAGGTGCACACAGTTCACAACAGTCTTAAAGAATTCCTACACTATGACACTTCACTCTTAGAATGAATCTATCTTAAAACTAGTCTTATTAAGAGATCTTGCTTTATTGTTCTGTGAACTTTTCAATTTTTACAGATACAGAGGTAGTACAGGATAGGAATATCAAGATCAAAACAAGTCAACTCAGTAATATTATATAGAAGCAGCAGAGCCATTTTCATGAGCAAACAAATTTTCCCTGGCTTCAAACAATTGGAATTAACCGTAATACACTGATACCTCCTGCCTTTTCCAACTGCACTCGTCAAATCTCTTAGAAAAAAGTTATTCAAACTTGGAAGTGGGAATAACACAGCTGTAGTAGATGTTGAAACTGTAAACACCATGTAGTACACTAGCTAACATGCCTTTTTTCCCCTAAATTTGGTTTGTATTAATCTCAGCACGACAGTCTGCATCAACAGTAGATCCTTCTCTGGCTTGAACCCTGCTGCTTTAGAACAGATTAACCTGACTGACTCGATTAGTCAAACTTCAACCTGCTGCCACCTCTGCTGCTCTCAGTCCCATTTACATACGTGGTGCTTTCAGTTTCTAAGCATGATTTCTCTCTGGAATCAAAACAACCGAGTGAAGAAAATGCTCCAAGCTTGCTGAACAGTAGCCTCCTCAGGGATACAAACACACTAATCCTAGCATTGATGGACTCCCACATTGCTCAGCAAGGTATTTCTGTGCATGGCCCAGACAGTTTTCCATGCTGTAAATACTTTTCACAGATAAACAACCAAAGAGAAGCTTCTTCTTACTTTATCCCAAACTTGTCAAGGACTGCTCCCACCAAAGCTTCTTTTGTAAAAGTTTTAGGATGTTCTTTTGGATCACTTTATGGCACAGATAAGAGTAGTTACATTCCCCAGCCAGAGTGAGTCAGAGGATCGAGCACTTCCACAACATGCAATATTTGACACCACCTAGACTGAGAATAGCCTACCACTATCAATCTAATTCTCTGCTGTACACATGCACCATTCTGTGCTTAGGAACAACATGACCATAAGAGAACTGAATATACTCAGATGCAAAAAGCAGCCACTCCAAATTCAGGCAAAAACACTGATCACAGGCAGTTTCTCAGAAGACATGTTAAAAGTACTCACAATTTCCAGGCATTTGGAAGTGCTGTTTCAAATGAAGGAGTTGTGGAGAACCCACTCCCACATCAGAAGATTAGAGGCAGGTAGAGTCAGACAGGATATCCACAGTACCAGAAGAATTGAGAGGCAAACTAAAGCCTTTCACTAAGAGAAGTGCTGTTCTGTGTTCTGAATGAAGAGTTCCAAAATGGAGCTCTTTTACAATCACTGTATCTCCTCCTCCAGACCTTGCTCCGATCTCTTTTGTAGGTTTACTTCTGTGTCCCAAATGTCTTCACACATTAGAACATAAATAATGGAAGTGAATGGATTATGAAATCATGTGATACAGTCAGAGCAGATGTAGAAGTGAAGTGAAAGAAGAGTCCAAATAATCACAGTAGATAATGAGAAATTGTTTTCTGACTCCTACAAGACCCAAGTTTTGGCAAAGCAAATACTATGATACGTGAATAAGGCTGCAGAGTAAATTCCTGAAGATTACCTACAAGAATCTTTGAATATCTTGAATAACACCAGGCTATGTGACTAATCATCATTATCCTCGAGATCAGTTGCATAAAGTGGGAGGAGAAATATTGAACTAATGGTAGATTAGGGAAACTTTATCCTTGATAAACATATTAACATATTTCAGGGTCAATTAACCTGCAGCAAAAACCTACCAGGCTCACTGCTATCAGCTGTGAGAAGGGTGTTATCACTTTGTGATGTCAAGTATTTGTTCCTATTTACTCAGATTCGTTCCTCTAAAAAATTGTTATTATTGACTATAGTGTCAGGATAGATGTGATGCATGGAGGCAGGGCTGAACCCATTTAAGGGAGCCTTGCAGTAGGACCTGGTGATTTTCTTCAATCTGTTCAAGTATGTCTCTTTCTACTGTTCTCATCCAGTTTCTCCTTTTTCAAAGAAAAAACAACAATGACAAAAAGATAACTAGCAAATGGAAATGAACAGATAGAGATACTTGAAATTTGTAAACTGCAAATACGAAGCAGAACAAGAAAGGGCATTGCAACCACTACTGAATATACACTTATGTAAGTGGTGGAAGGAAAAAAAGACAGGTGAGGGAAATATGCTAATTAAACATACAGAGCAGAGAAAATTCAGTTTCATGTTGCTGCTTCTGCTGCATTGCTACCATGACTCACCTTGCAGTATTCTTGTTCTGCAAAAACCACAACCGAGAATGAGCTGTTATGTTCCACATCCTTGTGCTAAGCCCATGCAAAGCGAAACTAAGACATGGAGGAGAAAACCAGCTATCTCTGGACTTAATTGTGATGAGTTGTTGTTTTGTCTCAGCTGTTTTCTGTTGCTGAGTCATTTCACTATGACTTTAATTATTTTCAAATGAAAACAAAAATATTGTTTTATTGTGCAAGGAGGACACTACACATTATGGTTACTGCAAGATATTAGAATTTTGCTGACAATTTTTAAGTTTTACTGGACTTAGATATAAAATGAGCTCTTCTTTTTGTAGTCAACTGGACAAATAAGTACTTTTACAGATATTTTATGTAGGAATTGCTTAGGACTGGACCATAGATTGTTCTGAATCATCAGCATGTAAAACTTACCTACACTTTGCTTATCTGGTTGCTAAAAGTGTTAACTACTCCCCTGCTACTATTAGATCCAGGTATACGTACTTTACTATTTAACCATTGCACTGAATACAGAAGGCAAAATATGTGTGGCAACTAGATATCTGTGATCTGGTTGGTTTAAAAGAATGACATCACACTCATTGCCGTGAATCTAGGAAAAAAGCTGCAGTTGACAACTGCAGTGCCTGACACTACCCTACACTGCAGGTCATGCCAGCTCCACTTGTAGTTACGCTACTGGACCAGGCAGTGGTGGGAAGCTCTTGAGGAATATTTTTTGAAACACAGTAAAGTCACAGAGCAACAAAGTCAAAGTGCTCCAGGGCTTGATGAGCTATTTGTGGATTTGGGTAGAAAATGTTGCCCCAGCACAAACTGTCATATAAGAGGGTGAGATAACAGCTTTGCCTTGTGGTTAGAAAATCATGATTGGGCTTTGCTGGGAAGAATTACAGAAACAAAGAGGCATATCTTCATTAATTTTCTCTTGGCAGGGGTTATTGCTGGAGGAATAACAAGAGTAAGAAATGATAGAATGCATCTGAACCATCCTTCCTGAACAGATTCAAAAGCCACTGAGAATGAATGGGAAAGGCAGGATTTTAGACCCATTTTCCTACAAATCTGTTAAGACTGACACTTGCAAAATCACTTTCCACAGAAGTTGAAAGATTACAAAAATATCTCAGTACATAATTGCCTGTTCTTCATTCTCTAGACCTGTCTGTCATCATGCTGACAGTGGGACTAACAAAACCAGATGCAGGCTGAAAGCAAGATTTACTTCACTGAGAGCTGGAAGGTTGTATGTCAAGTCTGAAATTCCAGGTGACAGTAAAATTCATTCCCAATGGATATATGGATGTAACAGCTGCAAGGAAAAACAAAAATCACCTTTAATTATAGGTATTAATGGAACCATGACCATGGTACCAAAACCTGGCATAATTTAGGATGTTGCTCAGAACTGAGCATCAGACAGAAGGATTTCTGCATAGGAGAGAATGTTAAATATTTGTAGCAAGGCAAGAGGTTCAGCTTTCTACATAATACACCCTTTCCCATGCTTATATCTGAGAGTGACTGAAGAAAACACAGACTTTAGCTATTTATTCTAATCCTGCCCAAACATAGGTACATAATCAATTTCACCTGGAAGAGGTTGAATATCAGTATAGGGATATTCACTCAATCTGATTCTCAGAAACCCTCTGAAATGACAGTCCATCTCCATAACAGTTAAAAAGATGTAATTCCTACTATCCAGCTTAGACTTTTGCTGCAGATTAAATTATACATCTTCTCCAGAAGCTATGGAAAACAATCCATCATTGTTAATTTGCAACATAAATAGCTCCTTCCACAAACAGAAAGCCCATGCCAACACCTCACTCCTAAAACTGATTCATTCATTTTTCGTCATGTGTCATTCTTCAAGTTATGTTTTTCATTCTTTAAGTTATCCAAATTGTTCTTCCAATTCAAAGCAGTACAGTAGCCAAAAGTCTTCCAAATGAGGTTTTGGCAGTTACAAGCAGAAGAGAATAATACTCTCCTTGGGCTGACAGTTGACATCCCATCTAAAATTAATCCAGCCTAAAGTAAGGGTTGCCATAACTGAGTATCAGTTACTCAGCTCCAGACTTTTTATGAACAATTTTTTTGTTTTGTTGCCAGACTGTATTTTTGCATCAAATTTCTTTATGCAGAGCTTAGTACAATACATCTCACATTTGAACTTCATCTTGCCTATCTCCCATAATAATCTCTGTAGGCAGAATCTTCCAGAAGATGTGTGGCATAACCTATGTGCTATCACTTACGACTGTAGAACTGTAGCAGTACTATTTTTTTTGTCTTTTTTTGGACATCAGTTTTAAGAACTACACTTTGCCTACCATTAAAATAGGGAGACCAGGCCAACAGCAAAAAAAAAAAAAAAAAAAAAGAGCAAAGCAAAGGATTAAATATTAGATAACAAAGCCAGTAAAAAAGTCTTCCTTATTGTAGAGCATAATTTTCTACACCTTTTCCTCAGGTTTTTTACCCTTTTTCCTTAATCTTCTACTTCAGGCCTCAGCTGGAGTGCTGTGCCCCGATGTGGACTCCTCTGTATAGGAGAGACACGGAACTCTTGGAGAGGATCCAGAGGAGGGCCAGAAAAATGATTTGTGGAATGGAACACATTTCCTACATGAACAGACTGAGAGAGCTGAGGCTGTTCAGCATGGAGAAGAACAGGCTGTGAGGTGACCCGATAGCAGCAGTATTTAAAGGGGAGCTACAAGAAAGAAGAAAACAAACTCTTTAGAGAGCCATGAGAAACGGCTTCAAGCTCAAAGAGGGTAAGTTTAGATAAGGGATAAGGAAAAAATCTTTTACAGTGAGGGTGGTGAGGTACTGGAACATACTGCCCAGAGATATGGTGGATGCCCCATCCCTGGTATTTTCAAGGCAAGCCTGGATCAGGCCCTGGGCAACCTGGTCTAGCTGTGGTGTCCCTGTTCATTGCAGGGGAATTGGACTAGATGGCCTTCAGAGGTCACAACTCTAAGGATTCTATGACTTTTACATAACTATACCACTGAACTAATTTGACAAGGAATAATTAATTCATGGCATGTTTAATAGATAAGAACATTAAATTCAGCATTTCATTAGAGAAATCCAATTTAAATATTAAATAATATTTTTTCCTGTGCATGCTAAGAAGCTCCACGGCTAGACAGAGAACAAAGTGCAGTCCACAATATAAAGAGCTTACGTCACTTCTTGGCAGTAACATTTGCCATTAATAAGAGTCTACCAAGTATTCCTTTTTTAGTATCAAGTATTGTTGAAAGCATGAGTGGTAAGAACTGTCTTTTAGATGAGAACTCTTCAAGAAGTTTGCCGCAGCCACAACATCCTTTCTTTGTTATGTTGAGGTAAGAGCAACTAAAGGTTGAGAAGTAAGGAACAAGCCTGACAGTATGAGCAGGAACAGATATTAAGTTAACAGAAAGTAATATAGCTTTACTGGTAGTAGTCAAACTGCCCTGAGTTGCTTTAGTTAAAAAGGTTTGGCCACAAAAGAGGCAGTAGATCAAACAGTAAAACTTTATCAGATTTGTTCCATTCTAATCATTGAGAAACAGCAAAAACAAAAAACAAAAACTCACACAAGTAAGACCATTAAAAGAAAAAGGAGAGGAGCTATTAGTACATGCCAATTTATAAATGGCAAGTGATTCATGCATTAAGAAATAGGGGTAGAGGAACACTACAGTGTTAATATGAAAGCCTGCATGTTTACAAACCCCAGACAGTTCATTTTGGTACAGTAGAACTGCTACCTTTAATTCCTTCTCACTGCCTAGAATGGGAAACTTTTAGCAGATATGATTACTGTTGTCTCTCAGGAACGTTCAAATCACTGTAATCTGCTTAATTTTATAATATATCAGTGTTAAAAGTTCACAGAAGTACAAAACAAATTGTTTCAGGGGGAGAAGGGAGCAATTATTTATCATTAGCCTGGGGAGTTAAGGGAGATAATGTAATGCTGATTGAGACTTGTGTCAGAATTTAAAAAATAAAAAAATTTTTTAAAAAAAATTTCT